ATTTTAACAGAATGAACTTAGGGTTTTTCCAAGTATTTGCACAAAAAAATTGTTAGCAATGGTTACTCTAGAATTGAGGAGGTTCCAAGCATGTTTTGGAAAGAACGGACGGCATTTCAGTCATTAACAGAAAAAGTCTAAAAACTAAGAGTGGACAAAGAACAAAGAAAGGATTTTACTAGCATCTACAATACCTTTAGACTTTAAGTCTTCTATTTCCTCAATATTGGTTGCAAGAGTCCAGCGTGTGGAAATTTTTGTATCAATTAAAATTTGTGTAATTCTGTCATCCCTCTTTATATCACTCTCGACATGCAGTGTGGGAATTTCTGATTTGCTGCACCCACTCCCCACATAATGGGGAAGATAGCGAGTATGTATTTGCAGGGAGATTTGACTGATTGACAAACAAACTAGTTGAGAAATTGGAAAGGGAAAAAAAGAGTTGTGTGTTGTATTCTTTCAAAATTGAAGAAGAACTAGAGTCACTGCTAGAACTGCTCTAACTATTTGATCCACTAACATGTATGTAGGAATTGATTGAAACCTTTTGGCAAAAACTGTCCATACCTTTACACAAACATCTTGCGTGCAAAAACCTCCTCTCATTACAATGACAAAAAGTAGAATCAACAATCTGACTGTTGTGAGAGATGCACACAAATAAAAATAAAAATAAAACCCAAAAAATCAGTAAAATCCATGCAACATGCCTTAGCTAGGAAATAAACAAAATCCAAAAAAAAAACAAAAAAACAATTTGATGAACATTTGATGAAAGGATTGAAAAGAGGTTAATGATAGGAGATGCTCTTAGTAGCAAATAGTAAATAACAAAACCTAATCAATCTTAATTCAAGATATTAAATTGCAAAATTCATACAGATGTAAAGAAAGAAAATACAAAATGTAATCATTATAAAATAAATAGCTAACATTCATAGCAGAGTACACACAATGGCTTCGATTTGAACTACATTTCTACAATTATAGATGCATGAGCATGAGCATGAGTGCAAGTTCAGATACTCTAAAAACCTTTCATTAAGCTCACCTATCAATTTTTTCTTTGAATGCAAGATCTTTTCAAATAGATTCCATGATAAATGAAAGACAAGAAACATAAAAACAAATCTTTTCATATTTGTAATGCAGGATCTTTTCATATAGATTCCATGATAAATGAAAGACAAGAAACATAAAAACAATTCTTTTCATATTTGTACTAGATGTTTAGATAATGTCGTAATAAATTCTTTTATGTTTCATTTCAACTATTCCGAACATGCCACACAACCCTCAAACCCATAGACATAGATATAAAAAAATGAGAGAGCATCAACCACAAGACAACATGGAAAGTAAGAGTACCGTATCTGTGCCACAATATTGAACTATGTTCTCATGCTCAAACTGACTAAGAAGAGCAATCTCCTGAACAAAACATAATAAAACAAAACACAGGGGATGAGAAGAGCAATCTCCTGACCCATTTATAAAAAACTGCAGTACATAAATTAGGGAAAAGCACATTGACAACATCCACTAACATAAAGCAAAGATTATGAATACATAACCATTGACCTATATATTCAACAATTTATACATATGCTTAAAAAGGTATTGCTGCTCAGAATTCACAACAGAAAAACAAAAGCACATTGACAACATCCACCAACATAAAGCAAAGATTATGAATATATAACGATTGACCTATACATTCAACAATTTATGTATATGCTTAAAAAGGTAGTGCTGCTCAGAATCCACAATAGAAAAACAAAATTATCAAGAATTGAAATATAATCTCAACAAGTTAAAATGCATATAAATATGGCTTCAATTGAAATGATCCAAGGGAAGAAGAAAGTGCGAACAAAGCCATTCGCTACTGGAAATTGTAACTAAATGAAATGAAACCGAGAAGAACAAATCGAGTACCTTTGAAGAAATCGCGAAGAACAGAATTCCAAATGAAATTGAATGCATCGATCATAAGAAGAAATTGCAAAGAAAAGAAATCGCGAGGGGCAAACGAATGCATCGTTCCAAACCCTAGCAAATATTGAAATGAAGATGAAACGAATTCAAATTGTAAGAAGAAACCATGGGAGAGAAGAAACAGAGCGAGGCGAAGAGGGACCATTTCCCAAAATAAGTCAAATTATCAACTTAATTCCCAAACTAACCTAGTTTTGAAAGGTGAGCCAAAATAGGTTAAGATGTGGTTCATAACCACGCTTTTAACGTTTCTATGTCTCTCCCGCGTGAAAATTAGAAAAAAATAAGACTAAATAATTGAAATTAAGACTAAATAATTTTTTTTAATTATTTTTTTTCAAATAATTTTTTTTTCTACTAATTTTTTTTTTCAATTAATCTTTCATTTCAATTAAATTTTTTAAAATATTTTTTTCCCAATTAATTTTTTTTTCAAATAATTATTTTTTCAATATTTTAGGCCTGAACAAACATATTTTTTATTTTATGTTTTAAAATTTTTTAAAACATTTTGTTCAAACCAAACGCATTTATAATCTATGTTTTTCTAAAAATAAGTAAAAATCAGTTTATAAAATTTTCATAAATATGAATAAAAAACGTAAACGTTACCAAACGCTACCTTAGTGTTTAGGGATAAATTTTATTTTATTTTATTTTAGGGTTTAGGGTTTAATTGAACTAATCCTAGAAGCATACACAATGGCATAAACATGGAGCATGAAACACCAATCTTTTAAAGCATTAAAAGAGCATCAAATGCAAGCATACAAAGATGCTATAGGGACTGAAGTGACATGATAAATGGTTCCAAACCACTGAAACAAAGCAAGTAAAGCATGCTAGAGGGGTCAATAGTCAAGGCCTACAAGGGTGATTGCATGGTAGCTATACAAAGCAAGCCATGGATGGCCCAAACAATCAAAAACAGACCTCAAGCACATCAAAACATGCATAAAAGCTTCACAAAGCTAAACCAAAACAAGTAAGCATAGTGGTCTAAATGCTAGGTGCATATTAAGGCAATTTCATGGCATTACAAGATTAGTGTGCAAAGCATGCGTGGTGTGTCTAAACCAATTAAAAACAGTGCTATATCATGGCAAAATAAGTATAAATAACACTAAAACATGACCAACATGCACTTAAACAAGATGCTTACACATGAGGCTGAAATGGCCAACATTGAAGGTAACAAGGAGAGGGGATGGCCCTCTCCTTCTTAGGACATTAAAGCACCATCCCCACCACTGAAATCCCTCTGGATTTCAGTGGTGAGGAGACCCAAACAAAGTGGCCCCGGAGCTCACCAAAAATGCACAAAATGGGAACCAAACAAGGCCTAAGAGGGGTCAAACAACCCCAAACAACAAAGTGACCTTAAACAACTATTTAGAGCACTGAAAAACAAGACTTTTATTAGTTATACACAAAGTCTAAAAACAGATACAAGGTAGGTTAAAAGACTATGCAAAAATGGGGAATAAACCCTTGAAGACTTTCTTCAAAAAGAGCACTCTAGCTGCTTCCTTAGGTCCAAACCAGCTCCAAAACTTCAAGACCAACCTATTGGCTCCTCAGCAACCAAGGTAAGGTGTAGAACTAGGTGTTTGTGCACAAAAATAAGAACAAACACACACAAAGGCAAAAGGAGAGAGAGATATAGAGATAGATAGATACACTATGCAAACCCCAATCTCAGAGCTCTCTCTTGAACTTCTGGAACCCTTGAGGAGGGAGGAGAAGGTCTCCCTTTATAGAGGATCACTCTTGCAAAGCTTACAAAACAAGCTAAGTAAGAGTGAAATCCCTCCATACACGGGGGTGCAAAGTGGGTGCCAGCTAGCACAGCTGGTACAAAATATCTGCCAAAAGCAGATGCACAGTGGTCGGCCAGCCAAAAATGCCAAATTGACCAAATAAATGGCCGACTGACCAAACATTTAGCCGATGGCAACAAAACAATGGCCGGTGGCCTCAAGCCATGGCCGGTGAGATGTAGGGATGGCCAACAAGCCATTCCTTGCTCCTCAAAAGCAAAACACAAGTGTTTGGTGCAAAACCAAACACAAAACAGGCAAGTCGAGAGGTCTTGAGGCAAGGCACGTGGCCGAGACCTCCGAGAACTCAAGACGAACATGAACATAGATGATCGCCGAGTGTTCAAACGGTGACGTCCAAGTCTTGAGGACGGTCAAAAATAGGGTGTCTACAATAACACTTTTCCCATGTTTCACTTTGTCATTGTTGGTACTTCTTTTAATTAAAATTATGATTAAGTTTCACATGCAATGTAATGTGAATATAACCTAATTATGTATGTTTAACTTTTAAATTGATCTATGGTTAGTACTGTATTAATATATTTATATTTTGGATGTTTATTATAGTTTTATGATTTGTATGATTTTCACTGTCGTAAATAATTAAAAAAACTAAATAAAAATTTTATGCATTAATACTAACAAACTTGTTTTTGAATTTTCGTTTTTAAATTTTTTTTTAATATTTTGTTTAAACCAAATGTGTTTGCAATTTTATTTTTCTAAAAATAAACCTAAACTAATGCAAACCTTACCACATACATTACTCCAACATGCTTGTACTCCTTTCTTATTTTTAGGACACCATTTCTTTATTATGTTATTAATCTTATCAATTGTGTTAAAATACTTTCCCAAATTTGTTTTAAAAGAAGAGTTGAATGTTCATCATATATCTTACCAATGTCTTGTAGATGAAGCTAAATTTTTCCTTGACAATATCACCTTCACTTGGGAATTTTTGTGAAAAATTAGTAGTTCCACACATTGAGATGGTGAGAGAGAAGGGCATATTTTTGAAAAATAAACTTTTTCAGCTGACATTATTTCCAATGACCAAAGCAAGAAAAGGAAAATTCCTGTCACAATCATCAATCTCTTGTTTGGATTAGCATAACATATTTGTGTTTGTAAAGCCGAGTATGGACTAAACTAACAAAACAAATAGTGAAACAATTGGAAAAGAAGAATAAATAGTTTATACCTGTACAACTTTAATTCACAGTCAATCAACTCTAATACATCATTTTCAATTAAAGGGAAGTGCAGATAATATTAAGAACATAAAAAACTAATCATGGCCACCAGGCCTCTGTGGAAGCTGCTTCTGCAAAAAATGGCAATCTACAACCGTAAATGCTCCAACCAACCTCATCTCTGCGAGGCACCATGTCAAGAAATGGTAGCACCATGAGAATCCACATTCTATAGCCTTTCAAATGAGAAGCTAGACCCTAGATTTGTAGGGTGAAATTTTCCACTTCACCCCATGATTTTTCTAATCTTTCAGTGTCCTAAACCTTTGGAATGTATTGTGTCCAAATTTTTATTGTTACAAACAAATAATAACTTCAATACATTTATCTTCCACAGAGTCCTACCCACCAGGTGAAAATTTGAAACCAACTTTAAATCAAAGGCCATTGATCACGACAGGTAAGTGATGAGTATTGGCTATAACATTTTGGACTGGACTTCTTATGCCTCCTACTCATTCTCTCCTGCCAAAGTTACAAGCTTGGGTACACTGCACTCATGTCAATTCCAGAATCAGCGCCCAAGAAAAATATGAGAGAGAGAGCGAGGTCACCTTTTTTTTAAAATGAGGGGGGGGGGGGGGTTCTTTTTCATCTATTGGAAGACATGGCTTCCTCAATTCTCCTGATGACGCTGCTTAGACTGCCACCACTTTCCAAAGCTTTTACAGCAGCTTGATGAGCTTGTTTATGCCATTTGAGCAGATTATAAGACTGCAGAACTGACCATCTTGCTTGATTTGACATCTATTTTTAAAAAATAGCAAATGCTGGAAGTTCATTATTCTATTAAAATCTTTGTGAAAAATGGAGTGAGAGAAAGGGTGAGCGAGACCTGTGCAACAGACAGTGGAGGTTCCAAAAGAATACAGACACTCCTGAACAGGTTTTCATCATTTTCTCCACCCTCAGCTTCGCCATAGACAAGAGCTTCGGCAGCAATTCCAGCAAAAAGCACCATGCAGTACCTGACCAGTTTTTCAAATGCAGGAACGAATAATCAGTTAATGGTGTTCAAGGGAAATGGTTATTTCAGCTGTGCTGGCATTGCCAAACAAGCTCACTCTTTGACCAAGTTGATTCATGCCATCAAGCATGTGTCCAAACATTGAATTGCATACCTTTATATAAGTCTTGGAAGGGTATCTAGGGCATCAAATTGAAACTTCAAAATGATGCAGTCTATTAATAACAACATATGATTTAAATGGTAAAAATATTGCTGCTGACTACCCAGAAGCATCAAAAGATCATACTGATTTGCCAATTATTCAAACTCACTGAGCAAAGCATTGATGCAATACCCACCTGTCAAAGGCAGTACTGCTTAGTCGGCCTTCAGCAAGCTCATTTTGAAGTTTCTCATCCCAAAACTGTGTTCCTGCCTGAGAGAAAAGTTCTGCCAATGAGCTTATGCTACCAACTGATAAATGTCAATCACAATGAAATTAAGTTTAGGTGAACTCAGGGCTGTAAGAGCAAAGAGAGAGTATTGATCATATCACCGATGAAACTCAGCATTCATCACTTTATAGAAACTACATAGTTAGAAACCAACATGGATGGCTAAGGTTAATTACTCGTTTAGGCTTTAGCAAATGGTTTTGTAATACAAGATGGAGAATTAACTTTGTTTGGTTGCGAATTTAACCTTAACTGATGAGAGGAGGAATACCAAATCTTCAGCATTCTAAAAGTGGATTGCAAACAAAAGATATAGCTTGTTACCTGTCGACAGAAATTTTTTTTTTTCCCTGATGATCGTGATTATTGTATATTATGAAAAAGAAAGAGCACCCTGCATGAGGCCCACACTAAGGAAGAAAACATCTAACGAATCAAAACCTAATTTTTCTTTTGGTTCGAATTAAGGCTCATTCAAGAAGTACTCAATTAAAGTTCAAACTAATAGATTGATAAGATGGCAACACTTGTTCGTTTGGCTTCTCCCATGAAGTGAAAAAATTTGTTAAGAACAAAATTGAAATAATTTAAAGCATTGTGAAAAGACAAGGGTGTTAATTTAGTAGAAGGATTGGCCAATTTCCGTGGACAAAATTCTGGTATTAATTAAGTCATTTCCTTTGTATCATGCCCGTGTAATATATGTTGGGTTGCTCAAATGAAATTGAATCACATGCATGAAGTGAGCTTATCAAAGTGTTGGAAAAGGCTTTAGATGATTGAATGGAAGCTTGAAGAAGAAAAAATGTAAACTGAAACACAACTCCTCAAAGCATCTAGTTTAAGACAATCTTTTTTCTTTTTCTTTTTTTTGCCAAGACATTATCACTCGCACTTAAAGGCACTTGAAATTTGCTCAAGCAAAGAACAAAGTTTCTTTGCCCAATAATCCGCTCACAAGTCACAACAGCTCAAGCGAACAGCATCAGATTTGCCATACTATACTGCATTTCAAATGTCATTTTAATTTGAAAGGCAAGGCAGAGGCTGGTCGTAAGTCATTACTTGAGTCTTGTATTAACCTCTTTGGGTAGTAGTGGATCGTCTTAATTGACAAGGGTTCCCATGGGTTTTTCCATTTGAAATGTTTTCCATGTGAAAATCAGCGGGTTCAATTTGTGAATGCTTAAGTTGAATGCAGTAAATGATATAAATGGGAAAAAAAATGAGGCGTACCTGTCCTTGAATACCCATTTGCATTGCCACAATTGGGTCTAAAATTACTCCACGAATTGGGCAGCCCATAAGGTATGCTGCAAACTCACGTAAGAAAATCAATCATTAACAAATTAAGGTTCATCGTCAGACATATTCCTCTTGAGATCATAAGTTTGATCAGTGCTCAATGTGTTTTAAATTTGGGAAATAATTCCTTTTTTTTTTATACGTTATTCCATTAGGGGAATAGCTCTTTAAGTTTGATAAGTTTAGACATTAATGGAATACATCTAAAAGTTTCGAAAACAAAGGGATGAAGTTTAACTTTTTAAACCTCCAACAAAATAATTTGAATCCTGGGAGAAAATAGGCTACCTGTAAGAAGATGTCCTGCTTCATGAACAAGAATACGCCGCCTATATGGTGGCCAGTAACTTGAGATTTGAGCTAAACATGAACCACCAAGGAAGATAGAGTCTATCAAGGCCAATCCCAATACAGCTGCAAGATTAGGTCTGATATCTATTCCTTTATTTAGCAAAAAAGATACCCCACCAAGGAAAGTAACCAAAACAACACTAGAGCTTCCAGAAAGACCCCACTTCTTTGGTGAAAGTTTGGACACTGGAGAGAGAGAGGGAGAGAGAGAGAGAGTCCAAATGGCATATTCCAGTAAGACCATAGTCGTAATAGAAAATACTATACTATAAACTAAGGAATGATAACAAACACAAAACTGCATCACAGAAAGAATCATTTCAACTCAACATGGTTGAGAGAAAAACTTTCATATTAGGTAATCTTGAAAAACTCACAATGTCACACATCATATTACTTTTCTTTTAGTTGAAAATAATTATAATACAAAAAAAACAAAACAAAACAAAACAAAAACAAAAAAAAATACATTGGGGGTTGAATGTTTGCCCTCTGTGTTTGAGGGCCTTTCGCTTCGCACCACTTGTGCTCTCTAGGACCAATGGTTGCATACAAATCCTGAATTAGTTTAAAAGATTGTTTCATATGTATGACAGTAAATGTCCCAAAATAAATTGACAAGTTCCATGACTGTTGAGATTTTCAAAGAAGAACATAGGTACTGCACCTTCCAACCCAGTTGAAGTCTTCAAAATGCTTGGTGTAACATCTCTTGGACCCTCCAAAACTGCAAAATTAATAAAGTTAAGTTTTCATTCTGTAATGGTGACATGAAGAATTCCATAAATGCCCATCCAAAAAATACATGTGCAAGATTATGCTAGTACCAAATACATGTAGAATTCCTACATGATTATTCTGATTGGTGTGTCATCTTCAGATAAACTAACCTCATCATGAGGTAAATAAACCACAATCTGTAATTTTAATATTGAACTCATCTCATGTACAATATTATCCCAGTCCCAACTACTTGGCTACCCTACCCACCTGATGAATTGCTCGTATAGTTTCAATTCTGTATTAAAAATAGTCTCAAAGTGAACAAATTTACAGAAATTCAACCATTACTTTATGGAACACCCCAACAAATAAGAAAATATATCTTAAAAAAGTAAACTGAAAGCACACCTCAAGTTACTGAACAATTATATCATATAGGCAGCTAAAGTTGCAAAGGTAGAACCAAAATTACAATATTTGCACTAAATTACCAACTAACTGACCAACTAGCAAAATAATTCGTCCAGAAATAATAATAATAATAATATGAAGGAGGAATCGAGTACCAATATTTCGAAATTTCCCAAAATTGGGCAAAAACCCCTTGTCCTTGAGAAAGCAGTAGGCAGCCCCAACAAGGGTCATATCATCGGCATTCAAGCATGTATCCAAAACCTCCCAATCCCTCTCCCATCCAACCCAGCCCAATTCAGCATCGGGAAGCCGAGTGGAGTCTTGAATCGAAGAGTTGTCGGGTTCGATGGGGTTGTCTTTGAGGAGGAAGCGAAGAGCTCGAGCGAGGTCTTTATCCTTGACTGCGTCCTCGTACTCTTTCCATTCCCTGAGAGCTCTCGTTGTTATCCTCCGTGGTTGTGGTCTCCGGCTAAAGGGTTTGCTCTCTGCACGTGGGTATGCAGAGAACAACGGTGATGGGCGACCAATACCACTGCTTCTGCTTCTGCTTCTGCTTGGTATGATTGTAAGGAGTGGAGGAGAGGGAGGAAAATGCACCGACATGGCCATTCCAGCTCTCCGAATACAAAACCGTTTTCAACCACCGTTGTCCCCCGTAGCCACGTCCCGGAAATTATTCAATATTTCCGGTGTATGCGCAATCATTTCGTTTTTTAATTTTTAATTTATATTTATAAAAATTTTAAAAATTCTCATAAAAATTTATTTGATAAATTTTTTAGTTTATAAATGATTGTTTTAATTTATAAATTTGAGAAAAAAATATAAACTCATTTTTAAGTTTACGTTGATTTTTAAATAAAAATTTAAAATTTTGACTATTAAAATTTTTTTCCCAAATAATTTTTTTCAATTATTTTTTTGATTTTATTTTTTTTCAATTATAATATGTGTGATCCCATTGTCATAAAGAATAAAAAAATTAATATAAATATTTTATGCCTCAACAAACATATTTTTTAATTTATGTTTTTAAATTTTTTCAAACATTTTGTTTAAACCAAAAGTATTTGTAATTTATGATTTTCTAAAAACAAACAAAAACTAATTTATAAAATTTTTGTAAATATAAACAAAAAACGTAAACGTTATCAAACGCGTGTTTGTATTTTCTAACAAATTATTATTTAATATATTCTTTATGTTTCTCAATCACTCAACACAATACTTCACCTATCTACCCTTTTCACCAATCATAATACTATGAAATAACATATATTCATATTCCAAAATTACTAAATAATTATTCCTTTTCTTTATATTAAAAAACACACCGAACTATTTGATGTATGTGCTATACATAAATTTCACGATGGCATATATTACAATTCCTTCTTTTTTCTTCTTTTTTTTTTCGGTCACTTTTCTAATTTTTTTTTTTTCAATTTTAGCCTTTTACGTTTTAAGTATTTCTCATTTTACTTTTGAAATTAATTTTTATTTAACATTAGACAAAAAAATAATATATTGACTGTCACTTGATATAAAAATATTTTATTATGTATTACTCACATTTCTGCGATAAACCTAAACTCCAATAATAAAATATTTTTTATGTTACGTGACAATTATTATAGTATTTTCTATTTAATTTTTAACATAAGTTAATCTTTAAGTAAAGTGAGAGAAATTTAAAATATGAAAAGTCAACGTGAACTTTAAGGACTAAAGTAAAAAAATAACCAAATATAAAAGGACAAAGTATAATCTACCCTTCATTATAATGTTGTGAAATTAAAAGTGAAGAGATATTTTTTGTACATGGCGTTCAAATCAATTTATGCGCATAATTGTCAAGTAAATTTTCAGTGGTCCTATTACATGAACTCTAAACTTTATATTTTATCCTAAAGTTTTTATCATTCAATCAATTTGTTATAATTAAAAGTGAAGACATGTAATTATTTGAATTTTATAAATTTACTATATTTAGGGCTCATTTACAAATTGATTTTTTAGTAATTTTTTTTATTGTCAAAATATATAAAAATAAATAAATTAAAGACAATAATTTGATAACTTCTATTAACTTTTTAATTAAAAATCATTCTTTAAAATCAGGGAGATGTTTGAGAACCAAACATTTTAGGGTTTGGTTATGGTGTGCAACTTACACCTTACACCTTATATCTTACACTTACACCTTACACTTACACCTTTTGTAAAAAATTAAACCTTACACTTACACCTTTTTTGAGGTTGCACACCATGTGCAACCCACTTACACCTTACACCTTACACTTACACTTTACACTTACACCTTATACTTATACTTACACCTTACACTTACACTTTTTGTGTAAGTGGCACATGGTGTGCACTTGCACACTTAAGAAAACTCCAACATTTTAACTGAAAACAAAAGATAGACTCTCATTAATCAAAAGCTAAAATAGACTTTCATTAATCTATAATGAAAAAAAAAAGAGTGTGACATTTACACTGTGACATCCCAAAATATATTTATTTAATTTTTAAAACAAAATATAATTATAATATTTTTTGAGTCATAATAAAATGTACGAACTTGTGTATAGTGCTTCAAGAAACCTCATGGGAAGCGCTGCACAGTATAGTGCAACATAGTATTGCATAGTAAAAAGCCTTTTTACTTATAAATAAGTGAGTGGCGTGGTAATAAAATCACAAGAATAACAAACGAGTGAAATCTGAAAGAGTGAGTCGAAGTTAGAAGTGAGAGTAAATGATCAAATTTGAGATGAGTTGTATTATATTTTGAGCTACCATAAACTATTTTATGTAAAATCTATTTTGCAAATGATATTAGTTTTTAAAGAAAATTATTTGTTAAATGAACCCTATTTGCTTATAAAGGGAAACCCATAGATAAAACTTTTTATTAAATGTGTTTTTAAACAATTATTTTATAAGTATCACCACGAAGGTTTCATACCTTAGGGGACTTAAATAACTATTGGCTCTATGTATTGTCACTTTAAGTGACTCTCTATTTGTCATGGATCTACTGACTCTCTAATTTTCTGATGCGAAGTAAAGTGTTGTGCGGAGTTAAGTGTTATACTATTGTGAGAGCCACATCTAGAATTTGTACAAACCACCTCTTGAGTTCATATATTTGTTCTGTTCTGTTCTGTTCTGTGGCTATGATTATTTGTTTATATGATTTATGTGTTCACTTCTGTTATTCAAAATGATTTATGTATTTCTGGTATCGAACTAATCTCTATTTAGTCCAAATAATTATTCATGGTAAATTTCATACCCTTATGCTCTCAATATAATATTTTTCACTCTATCATGTGTTTATAGTTGCTGACCGCTTTCAGGTGACATGTTAGAACCAGTGCGTGGGGTAGGCACAAGGTACTTTGTAGTCATAGTTCGGCTCTGACAATGTAAATGAATAGAAGTTCCAATGTATATGTTTTTGTTAAAATTAATCATAATATGGGTACTATTTTATTTTACTCCGCTACACTATTAATTTGTTATGACTTTAGTTATTATCTTATTGCGACCCCAAACCACCGAATACTAGGTTTGGGTCGTGACATATACTAATAGTTTTTTTTTTTTAATATAAGGAAAGTTACAATTCTATGGACTTTTGAAGAGAAAAGAAAATTTATAAATGCATGAAAAAATTTTAAACTAATAGTTTTTTTTTTTTAATATAAGGAAAGTTACAATTCTATGGACTTTTGAAGAGAAAAAAAAAATTATAAATGCATGAAAAAATTTAAAATTTTAATTATTAATATTTATAAATTTTACAATTAATGTGTAATTTTTTTATTCTAATTTTACACTTAATTGTTATTTTCTCTTTATAGTAATTGTGTGGGAAATTTTCCGACCACACTGCCAACTCAGTAATTCAGCTGGAGAGCACTGGCAGAATAGATGGCACCTGACTGACCTGCAACAGAAATATAAGAATCCCGCGGTAGTTCGTCCACCCGGGGGCACTCCGACGATCAAGTCAGTATAGCTCTCAAAGATAATCAATTATTCAACTCACAAGCTTGAGCCAAAAAAGCATACTTTAGACCCATGGGGGTGCCTCTCTTTTATAGCTAACATAAACCTAGTCCCAATAGAAGCCTAACTTCTATGGACTCAAGATTACTGCTAATCTTAGACTCCCAGTAAGATTAGGATAAACTCTCTAAGAGTCTTATCTTAATATAAATTGTAGTCTTCTCTCATTCTAGGACTCTTATCCCTCATCCAGGTTGAGTTCCCTTTTCATTCTAGGACTCTTGTCCCTTATCCACTTATCTCAGATTCCGATATCTTCGGAGATAACCTCGGCCTTGCTGAGATCACCTCGGCATCATGATCAAGACACGTGGCACCTCGGCTGACACGTCGGCGTCACCTTGCTACGTGTTGGTACTCAGAAAATATATCCCCACAACTGCCCCCTACGTTCTATTACCTCGACATCCTGATTCTGACGTGATGGAACCTACACTGTTCGTTCATCTGTGCCCCTCTATCCGAGATCAAACTCGCCGACCTCAAAGTTTCCTGGACTTTACTGTCCACTGGTGTCAAAAATCAAGTTTCATGCTTTCCAACCTGCTTGAAATCGCACCTCCTAGCCGAGGTTCTGGTTCCATTAATTCGTAAACTCTAAGAGCTTTGCAATTGCTCCACTTACACTCTCTGGTGAGTTCCCGATTTCCAGTCATCTATTTGACTCCAGTGATTTTCACATCAGCGTTCATTTCACTTGGTAGGTTCATAAACTCTTTAATTGCTATTAAGCTCAATCTTTCATAACTCTTCTGAATCTATTTACTTGCCATCTGTTGCCTTCTATTTTCGTCTGTCTTCAAGTTTTGAATTGTTTGAATGCCTGTCACTGTTATTGTCATATCTGCTTTATGTTGCTAGCATCGTGTCTGGGTCATTACTTTCTTGTTCTTCACATACTTACTTAGTGCCTGTGCACTTGGCTTTATTCTTGAATTTTGTCGTCTTCTTGAATATTTTTCTCTTTTTTCATTCAATCCTTTGGCTTTTTCTCTTTCTAGCTCTTTTGCTTAAATCTGTCATTGTTCCAAGCTTTTAAGCTTCTGCAACTGTCTTCGTTCCTCTCCTCCAGTAAAGCTTACGTCATTCTGTCATTGTCGTCAGACTTCGGCAATTCTCATTCCGGCTTCCTTCTTTCTGATAAGCCACTGTTCCTTCTGGTTTTATTTCTTGTTGCTTTCCAAGAATCTTTGCTTCATTGTTAATCACCATTGTTGTTTTACCCGTTGTTTCCAAATCATCTTCTTGAATACACACTGTTCACACATCTGTTGATTTCTGCCACTGTTCTTGGCTTGACACACTTGTGCAATCTTTTTGTCTTGATTTCCTGATAGTTTCATCACCATTCTTGATTACGAATTACATTCTTGTTTCTGTTTTCTGTGTTTTTTTCCAGATTCTTGCTTTCAATCCTTGCCTTCAAACTCAGAGGTGCCAATCGCCTAGAAGAGCCTTGATCAAACTCTTCGGGAGATCGATGCTGAGCTCGAGACCGAGAAGGTTGCTGAGAAGTCTCCCAACTGTTTTCTATATTCTGCCATTGATGTCAAGTAGTTTTGTTTCCTTCTTTTATGCCTTGTACCTTGTACCTTGTACTTTGTCCGTCTTTGT